CAAAAAATCGGTAGATCATTATTAACTTTGGGTTGTTTTGTTGGATAATTTGTGTTTTACAACTACTCTTTTGTTTATATATGAAATCGGATACGTTTGATTATGGTTTTAACATACGAAGTAGGGATCTCCGTTTTTTGTTTCGCTTGTGGCCTCATTTATCTCAGGAACGGCCCTGCTCATAATTAGTGTATAGAAACAAGGAAACTTAATATGGATATATCATTATTTATTTTTGATGATTTAGGGGCTGTCATTGATGTATTAAAAAAATATACTTAAAGTGATATGAATTTGACTTTTTCGATAATTTGGTACATTTTAATAATAAAAAAGTAAAATAATATCTGGCTCTTTGTGGCCATGCATCTGCGGCTCGACAGGCCTCGTCAGGATCCTCTCTGTATACAGATCGAGATCGGTCTTCTTCTTAATTCTTATCACTTGACCTCTTTTTGTTTATTTTTAATTTATCTGTCAAACTTCTAATTAATTTCTGATAATTTATCCCTCAACGATTAATTTACAATCCTATCAAATAATAATGTAGATTCAAAAAAAAATTAATATAATGAAGGGAACCATGGTACTACCATACGTGTGGGAACAGAGCAAAACGACAGAAGTTAATAAAGGAAACGACAAGAGTGGGAAAGCTTTTTAATCTTTTTAATTATTATCTTCACTTATTTGTTTGAGTAGAAAATAAAATAAATAATTAAGACTGATTTAAAATAAATATTAGTATGTGATTAGGCACTTAACGAAGATGATGCCAACTAAATACCTACGTGCTCCACTTTGGGGCCAGCTCATGTCGAAGTGGTGAACAGAGAGAGACAGGTAAAGATTGAGTGTGGGAGGGTGCACTGTAGCTATTCTCTACCCCACCAATGGCAGCGATTAACCTATTGCGTCCACGGTGTTTCACAATTATTCAATTTTTAATTTTATTTTATTTATAATACCGGTTTCAAAATCATATGAGTCTATCAAATCAACTCAATATTTTATCTTGTCCCATACCTACCGACTACAAATTATCGAGATTAAAAATAAAAAAAAATACTGTTTTCATAATGTTTAAAATATTTTTACTTTATTTTGTCGTTTTCGATTTTTTCTTTAAAAAAATGTAGTTTTGGAACAACTTTTACAGCTGCTAAATAAAATGAGTAACCATTTATCTGTTTGCTAAACGTGTTTTTATTAAAAATATTTTTCATTGTTATGATTCCATCGTTCCGATATCTTTTTTTACCAATGGTGCTGAATCCCCCAGTAAAAGAAATTTATTTTGTACTGTTTATGACAATTGTATACATACATACAAAAAGTCTAACTAATTTTTATACACTTCCATAAAAAGAATAAGACAATATTCGTATTATGTTTTTAGTTTGTTGGCCTCAGAAAAGAAGGAGCAATGTTCCAGTTTCAAGTTGAGAAAATACCCAAAATATTCAGATTAGGTAAAAAAAGTAAAAATAATAATGGAAAAACAGTATTGAAAACGTTTGAAAAATAAAATTAAAAAAGGAAATAAAAAACAAATATGGAAAAAATCACTCTGCCTCTCTGGAATATGATAGGTGAGGTTTTAAGCTCACTGTTTCAGTTAGACCCCACAGAATCTGTATTTTTGTTAACAAATAGTAATA